TGTTAGATTTGTTACCTTAATAGTCACACAATGTTTGTATTTCATTGCTTGAGGATGTTCAGAAAATACTTTTCATACACTTTATATACGGCTAAACCTACCTTGAAAGAAGGCATGCAGCAGTGGCTGAACACTTTGCAATCTTATCCCCCTTCCGCTCCCTCCACTGTTCACCTTCATTGTACATACCATCCTATTTAAAAAATTATAATGACGCAATAGGGATCTTGCCTACATCTCTTCACGCAAAAAGAAAGAAGTCTGGTTCGCTTCTTGTGTGACCTGTTTGTAAGTTCAATCTCATTTATTTTACTGAGATGTACATTTTTTATCCATCCACTATCCCCCAAAACAAGTTTAGTCCTCGACTTAAATAGTACTAGACAACAGGATTACACAATCCCTCAACTTTTTAAACAAGGTAATTTTGGTCCCTTTCTCGACCAGAAGCGGTTTGATGGATGACATGGTAGTCGTTCCACACATTTGGTGGCACAGCAAACAATTCTTTTTGAAAGAAAAATTACAAGCAAAGAAAAATCAGGAAAAATAACAGAAAAAATGATAAATCATGAAAAATATTATTAATAAGTTACGAAAAATGAGAATGTTATGGATGGGAAAAACGTCAAGAATTTACGAAAAAGAAAAATCATAAATATTCTGAAAAACAAAGAAATTAGAGGGTACTCATAAATAATTTCCTTGTTTTCCATGAATGCACCCAAAATCTGTTTTATTTCTATTTTTCAATTTTATCTCTTTGGATTCTCAGTCTAGACTCTAGAGTTGCATGTCGACCATGAGCTATCTGACATCTCTACCTGTTGGTAGATCTTAATAACACACTATGAGATCTCCTTTTCAATGAGATCATTGTGCCTTGCTTAGCTCTTTGTGAACTTTAGACATACATTCTTACATTACTGTTTTTCCAGTTATCGAGGAACTCAAAGCTACCGGAAAATTTGAATTTATGGACCTTAATGTCGATGAGGCTGAACATAGCATGGAAATGCATTTGCCTTACCTTTCTAAAGTATTTCAGGGGTAATTACTTTGTTGTTAAAGGTTGTATCCATCTTGTATTTCTTTTTGAATAAAATATGGATCCTACACTCATAATTCTTTTTCATGACCTGGCAGACATAATGTAAAAGTTGTACCTATCCTTGTTGGTGCTGTCAACTCCCAAAATGAAGCCATTTATGGGCAGTTGCTTGCAAAATATGTGGATGATCCAAAGAACTTTTTTTCTGTCTCCTCAGACTTTTGCCACTGGGGATCTCGGTAAGTGATTTAATGTCTGATTATTGTGATTTTTGTTTATTTTGCAACGAGATGTCAAGTGTGTCATTACTGTACATACCTCGTCGGTATAGAATAAGTGAACCTAATACAAGGCACATGCTAACCACATAATCTGCAGCTTAAGCAAATTTCCATAACCTTCCCGTGTTACCTTTTTTTAATGAAGCACATGTATTTCTTTAAAGCACGGCTATATTGCCGGCTACCAAACGAGCACATCATTCGATAGTCCTCTGCCCATAAGATATTGTCATCCAGGATAGCTCCGACATTAATTGTCTGTTGTCGCTGAAGCATGGGCCGGTTTATTACAATCCCATGGATGAAACATTACTCAATAAAGGAAGTAGATAATAGAAACTTTGCCCGTCGAAACAGAGTGTTCCCAGTTTGGAATGTTCATATTTGTGCGACCTGAGCTCTTGCTTCTGGTTTAGGTAATCTGTGGCAAATATTGCACTCCCCACTTCCTGCTGCCCAGCTAGCTGTATGGCGTATGAGACATGATCAATAGGTCCAGCTGTAGCAGATACATGATCTCCACTGCTGTCCTGGCCAGTTGCCCCCAGTCTCATCTACCAGAGTTTTGGAGGAAAGCACCATTGATCTTTGGTCATATGTTCTTCAGCAAAAGTAACTAAAAAATAGTATTTGGCGTATTTAGCGAACCAAAAAGCTCTTCCCATATAGAAATGCAGAATAGTTTGTGTGGAAGGTTTGGCTTGAAATTTGTTACTGAATCTAGGTCAAGACACGTGAACAATGAACTTATTTTAACGCAAAGTCGACGACTCAATAGTTCTTCAGAGAGAGAAAAAACTGCACAGCCTCAAGTGTGCCACAATTTATGATTTGAGTCTTCTGATCTGATGTATTTGCTGAAAGGTACTATTCTACATAGTAAAGGATGCCCTAATACAAGAATAGCCATTAACCCTGTTCTGCATATCAACTCTTACTAGATTCAACATGTGTCTGACATCCTGACTGTTTAACATATCATGTTTAGTTTAACTGCAAATGGTCTAGAGAGGGATCAATTTATATGTTATAAGTGCAAATTCAGATACAACATTGAGTATGTTCAAGATGAATTTGAATCCATGTCAGGAGACAGAATTTTCTTGATAGTGAAGGATTTGGTCACATTATCCACATACATTCAGGCCTATCATTTAAGCCCCTCACTGACCGAGTAAAATCTTATTGTATACTAGTATTCATGTTGTTGCAATGCTTGCGCAGTTGCGCTTACAGGTGTATAATCTTGTCTATCGATCACTTTCTCTTGTTTCACATAAATGCTCTGGCAATGTACCAGGACCAATCATGCTTTGGTTATGGTAAAATGGTCATGTATTGAACCAATCATGAGCTTTGAAGATCTCAGGGCCGGCTGGTTGATCCACCCACCATTCAAAACCATTTTATGAAAACATAACTATCACTTGCTATCTCCTCTTGTGATAAGCCCCTACGTCCCAAAATCCAAATAGTAGATCTATCTTCAGGGGATAGCTATGCACGCCACTTCTGTCCAAATGGCCACATCATTTACTGAAATTGAAGGTTCTAAAGGCTTTGGTTAGTCTCCTGTTCTATCTCTTCATTTTCTCCCTTTCTCCGCATAAATTCTCTAGGGTCCGCTGTGGCCTGATCGTGCCGACCGTTCCCTTCTGCTTGTGTTGCCTGACTTCTGCTGTCGACAATATTGACCTCCTTTCATTGTCTATGTCGATCTCCATTGCTTTCTCAATTATCACATGGCCTTAATCTGCCAAGGTTGAGTGGAGTAGAAGGCTTGAGTAGTTAGGCATCACGGAAAATTCTTATAAGGCTGGCTCGCCTGCATATGGAGCAGGCTGGCATGGGTTGGATGGTGCAGGAAGGCGAAGACAGAATCCATTTGTTCGGACTTTTAGATGATGGTGGATTTTGCATACTTTGTACAGAAATTATGTACCTCGTTCTAGAGCATAGAAATATGTTCCGAGAGCCTGGATTAGGAAAGGCCGAAAGGTGTATGATTTGATTTGAAGGGTGAGTGCACTTGATATGTCACCTAGTGCACCAGGGTATTATATACCCCACATTCACTAAATTCTATACTCTTTCAGTTATGTTTGCTGCTGTCGCTTGGGCATCAGGTATGTAAATGATTGTGTCCATCTCGTCTCATTGCCACAACAGGTTTAGTTATACATACTATGACAAGAAGCATGGTGCCATTCACAAATCAATCGAGGCGTTGGACCGGTTGGGCATGGAGATCATAGAGACTGGTGACCCCGACGCGTTCAAACAGTATCTCGAGGAGTACGAGAACACCATATGTGGACGCCATCCCATCAGCGTCCTTCTTCATGTAAGTGCGCAATTAATTGATGATCTAACTAATATATATCCTTCCCTTTTAAGATTTACTTAATCCACTTTGTGCACATTCTATTGTGTTAGATGTTGAAACACTGCTCGACGAAGATTAAGGTCGGGTTTGTTCGCTATGAGCAGTCGAGCCAGTGCAAGAGCACGAGGGACAGCAGTGTCAGCTACGCATCTGCTGCGGCCAAGGTGGACAGTCCTGGAGAAGAAGGTAAAGATTGAGCAAAACGTGGTTTGCTGGGTACACCCTGGTGTAACGTGCTGTAGCATGGCTGTTGGCTTGCAATCACCGGAGCTTTCTGTCGAACTTTGTAATAATAGCAGGCTCTGGTTGAAGTCCCATAGTAGCTGCTCTGGCGGCACCAGGATTCTGTGAAACAAGAGAACAATATATTTCTGGATGTTCTTGTGTGTATCTTCCTAGTAAGCTCCAGCAAAAAGAAAACGTTCAAAACCATGATAAAGGTTCTACAAAATTCTGAAAATGTTTGATGGTCAAAACTGTTGCAGCAGCATCGTGCATCCTGCTTGCAGCAACAACGGTCAATCCTTGTAGTGTCTCGCGTCTTGCCTCTGCAGGAGTGGTGCTGGCCATTGCAGGAGTGGTGCCTCCCATAGCTATCGCTCCTTCCACACGTACGCACGGGCACGCCAACTCGCCTCCTACGCCGCCTGCCGGCCGGGGCGTAGCAACGCAACCATGAAGCTTCGTCCGGTCGTTGTGTGCCTTCTCCTCGTCGTGCTTCTCTTCGATGGTATATATACTATCCACTACCTCCTTGTTTCTTTTCCATATTCGTTTGCCAAACCTTCTTCTCTTTCTACATGCACGCACGCAAGTGCTGACACACATGATCGATCTACTCTACATTGACAGCCGCTCGCGTGGAGGGTCGAGGCACACCCTCCGTCAAGGCCAAGGAGTCATCAAAGAACCAGCAGTGGACCAGCATGTTCGTCTTCGGCGACGACTTTGCCGACAACGGCAACCTCCCGAAGCTGCCCGGTGGTCAGCCCGAGTCTGATCTCTCGCGTCAGTGGAGCTACCCCTACGGCTCTTATCTCAACTCTCGTGGCTCCGCAGCTGCCGTTCCAACCGGCCGCTTCTCCAACTACCGGATTCAGTCCGACTTTATCGGTAATTTATTTATTATTCTAGCATTAGTGATCTAATAAATGCTCTTATATTTCTTTACAGAGGAAGTACTTAGCAAGCTAGGTAGAATTTGTTTTAGATTATCACATGTATAATCCTACTTCTAAGCACGTCTAAATCTAAAACTAATAGAGCATATCTATCGCGTGGAACTTGCAGCAAGGATCTTGGGCCTCAATGCAGCCCCTCCGGCGTACATGCGCACGCTAGATCAATCTGTTGATCCAACCGGCATGACCTTCGCCTCCGGTGGCGCCGGCGTGTTCCAGAAGAAGGTGCCAACTCTTGCCGCACAGGTTAAGTCTTTCACGAGGCTCATCAACAGCGGAATCATCTCGAAAGACCAGCTTCGCCACTCCGTAGCGCTTGTCGCCATCTCTGGCAATGATTACATGAGCGGCGCCGACGTCAAGAACTCCTTCTTGAGTAGCTTTGACGACGTAAGTAGCTAGTAGCTAGACTCATCACACGTACAAAATAAACACTAATAAACCACCCATCAATTAATATTATCGATCGCCACCTTACCAATTTAACTTTTCTCGCATGCATGCAGATCGACACTTACATTGGGAACGTGACGGCAGAGATTGTCAAGAACGTCGTGCAGCTGCAAAAGCTTGGTGTGAAAAAGTGCTAGTCAACAACATGCATCCCATTGGTTGCACGCCTATGAGGACTAGTACAAACAACTACTCCCTCCGTTCCTAAATAATTGTCTTTCTAGAGATTTCAACAAGTGACTACATACGGAGCAAAATGAGTGAATCTACACTCTAAAACATGTCTACATACATCTGTATGTTGTAGTCCATTTGAGATGGCTAGAAAGACAATTATTTGGGAACGGAGGGAGTACACCACATGTGACCTTCTCGCCAACTACGCCGCGTCCGTGCATAACAAAAATCTAAAGCAGTTGATGGGCAAAAAGAATAACGCGAATAACGCCTACATGCTGGACCTCTACACTGCCTTCACCGACATCATCAATCATGCCCCAGGTAAGTAGTGGCATATATCCATGCGTGAACGTTGTAAACTAAATCTGGTTTCTAGTGTATGAGAGCTTTGATTCAACACGTGTCGGGACTATTTATACATACATACAATTTTCATGTGCATGCAGGTGAAGGGTCGGATCAGTCCAACAAGTTCATGAACAACCTGGCCCCATGTTGCGAGGGTTTCTATGATACAGGCTTCTGTGGACAGCAGGACGATACGGGGGAGCCCCTCTACGAATTATGCGAAAATCCAGACCAGCTCTTCTACTGGGACGAGGTGCATCCGACACATGCTGGGTGGAAAGCCGTGATGAAGGCGCTAGAACAACCTTTGAAGGAGTTCCTAGATCGGGCCTATGTTCCATGATGCCTTGTAGTTTGAAGACTTTCTAGATTAATTGCTAGCTAGTTGGTGCAATTTCTTATAGGTTAGCTCTACACATATAGTATGAGTATTTGGGAAGAAGCTTGCGAGTTTTTCTTTCACTGCCTAACTTTTAGTTTACTACAAGTACTCTTTATGTATGAAACATGAACCGGCTAATGGTTTACTCCTGTTAGAAAGTTGGTCATGTGTGCGGTGAATCTAGTGTGCATGCATGTACTTGAGCTCGTGGGTAGTTACATGAAATGAGAAGAAAGGAACATCACTACTTGGACGAGTGCGCTGGCACTATGTCCAGAACATAGCAACCCCGCGAACCAACCTGTGGTTGGATGGTTAGAGGGACTGTGGTATCCTCAGCCCACCAGCGTTCAAATCCTGGTGCTCGCATTTATTCCTGGATTTATTTCAGGATTTCCGGCGATGCGCATTCAATGGGAGCAGACGTTCCCGTCGACGACGAGACGCCTACGGTGACTTCGTAAATCTTAAAATGATATGCCGGCTCAGTCTTTCGGAGGCGCTCATAGGCGTAGGGTCTGCGTGTGTGTGTTCATAGAGATGAGTGTATGCGCGTGTATATGAGCGCTGTGTCTGTACTGATATTCAAAAAAAAAACATAGCAACCCCGAGACTAGATGGCCCATGGGTGTCAAAGGACAATCCCATTACGCAAAGCAAAAGGGGCCGGATATTAATAGGCTATACCAGCCTGAAACATCAATGGTCGGATCTGACCTCTACTACTCTTCTCAGTCGGCAGTAAATTGTAAAGTAAAAATGCTCACTTGGATAGCCATTGCTCAGGCGCTAGGGTTATGGGATTAGGTTCATGTTCTTTTAGGGAAGGACATTCTGAGATTATGGGGTTCGTCGGCCCAACTGCAAGAATTTTATTAGCTAAACAAAAGGTTAGGTAACTCATGATCCGCGCCAAACTCGACATTTCAGATCCCAGTAGCCATGTCAATGCAATTAATTTAGAGCAAGGTGCTAACAATTGCCCCTTCTTCATCTGGATGGAGTGCCGCTGTTGCATATGTACTTCTTCGCTCAACTCATGAGAAGCTGTGTCAACATTTAATTTGAACATGTCATGCTTTCTTGTGCCGTGGCTGCCAACAAGGACAGGAGGACCCGTCTCGTTTCGGGAGAAACACATCCTGATCCATCGTATCATATCTTGCTTGGTGTGTGAAGTTGACGGCAGGCGGGATGAGGTCGCATCTACAATGAATCACCTCTCCCTGCTCGATGGTGTGGTGTAACCTTAAGGCATATCACCCCTCCTTGCTCTGATTTAAGAGCTAGCACAGCCATCGTTTCTTCATCAATTTGGAAGGCGCAATTCAAGCAGCTGTGTGTGAAACGTGAGGCTGGAAGCGCGTGCCAGAGCAGGGGCGCGATGCGTGTTAATATAGGCCAGATGGGCGGCGTGGCAAAGATTACAATGAGGTTAGGGATAGGTTAGTTGTGGATTGATCTCCAAGTTAAGCTAACCATCAAGATCTAATCACAACAACCTAACCTATCCTAACTACAACACGCACGCCACATATCTAGCCGGCACGGTTCATAACATACTGTGGCAAGGCATACAACAAGTACAATGATGTTTAACACTCCCCCTCAATCACAACTATCTAAGTTGAGATTGCGTCGAAAGACCTCCAGCTGCCGCAATGATAGTGGCTTAGTGAAGCCATCTGCTACTTGATCACCAGTAGGAACAAACTGAATATTCAAAAGCTTGTTAGCAACTCTTTCACTAACAAAGTGATAATCAATCTCAATGTGCTTTGTTCTAGCATGAAAGACAGGATTGGCAGAGAGTTAAGTAGCTCCAAGATTGTCACACCATAGTGAAGCGGCAGACAAATGGTGAATCCCCAACTCTGTCAGCATATTTTGAACCCAAATAATCTCAGCAGTGGCATTTGCTAAGGCCTTGTACTCAGCTTTTGTGCTTGATCTGGACACTGTGGCTTGCTTACGTGCACTCCAAGAAATCAGATTGCCACCAAAGAACACTGCAAAACCTCCAGTGGACCACCGATCATCAAGAAAACCTGCCCAGTCTGCATCTGAAAAGGCACTAACAAGTGTGGAGTCAGACTTGGCAAGTTTGAGACCATGACTCTTGGTTGCCTGAAGGTACCGAAGAATTCTTTTGACTGTTGTCCAATGAGTACTAGTGGGTGCATGGAGAAACTGGCAAACTTTGTTGACTGAAAAACATATATCTGGCCTGGTTAAAGTCAAATATTGCAAAGCTCCCACCACACTTCTGTACCTGGTGGAGTCCTCAGCTCCAAGTGCCTCTCCATCATAGAGAGACAGCTTCTCTGAAGTAGACAAGGGAGTTGAAGAAGGTTTGCAACTTTTCATGCCAACGTGCTCAAGGATATCTTGTACATATTTTTCTTGGGACAGAACGATTCCACGAGCCACATGCTTCACCTCGATGCCAAGAAAAAAAATGAAGATTACCCAAATCCTTGAGAGCAAAGTCCATACGTAGATCCTGAAGAAGAGCATCAATTGCCCTAACGGAGGAGCTTGTGACAATAATATCATCAACATAAATAAGCATAAAAATGGTTACTCCATGCCGATGATAAAAAAACAGTGAGGTATCTCCCTTGGAAGCAGCAAAGCCAAGGGACTGTAACTTGGAGTACAGGCGATAGTACCAGGCTCTGGGTGCTTGTTTCAAACCATAGATTGCTTTGTCAAGCTTGCAGACATTGCGTGGTAAAGCTGAATTTTCATACCCAGGAGGCTGCCTCATAAACACCTCTTCTTTCAGAACACCGTGCAAAAACGCGTTCTTTACATCTAGTTGTCGCATGCACCAGTTTCTAGATATTGCAACTGAGAGAATCAAATGAATAGTAGCAGCTTTTACCACGGGACTAAAGGTATCCTCATAATCAATTCCGTACCTTTGCTTAAAGCCCTTTGGCACAAGACGTGCCTTGCACCTGTCAATAGTGCCATCAGACTTGCATTTTACCTTGTACACCCACTTGCAGTCGATCACATTTCTCCCTCTGACTGGTGGAACCAAGTGCCACGTCTTGTTCTCTATGAGTGCCAAAAATTCTTCATCCATAGCCTGTCTCCACTTGGAGTCAGCAAGAGCATCATGCAGATTCTTGGGTTCACCTGTGGCAGAAAAAGAGCCGCACCGAACACAACCATCTTTATATACCTTGGGCTTGGCAATGCCACTCTGTGACCGGGTATGTGATCGAGCAGGAGGCGGCGAGGCGGGTTGAGCTTGCTGGAATTGGAGGCGATTTTGCATGGAGGAGACCGCAGAGTCTGATGCAGAAAATCCCGAACCACCCTCCTGCAGCGACCCAGACTGATCCGGTGCGGCAGCCGATGGCGAACTGCCAAGTGGCAGTTCTGGAGCGGCCACGTCCCTCGAGGAAGATCGATCCGCGCCAGGATCCATGCGCCGCGTCTCATCAGGGTCAGGTGGGCCGCCCCCAGCCGGGGACAGCGTGGTGGTGTGCCTGGCGGGCCCACCAGAGGAGAGCGGGACAGGGCGCCCGCCTGGCAGCCTGTCAGTTGGCGCGGAGCCCGGCAAGGATCCGCCTGGTGCGCCTAGCCCACCAGAGGAGAGCGGGACTGGGCGCCTGCCTGGCCGCCTGGCTGTTGGCGCAGATCCAGGTGAGGATCCGCCTGCCGCTGCTGCGGACGCAGATCCCGGCGAGGATTCGCCTGGCGCAGCTGCTGGCGCGGATCCCGAGGCTGCCGGATCTTGTGTGGCCGAACCAGACTCCTCAGGGTGCTGCATAAAATTATGAGAATTTTCGCCAAAGTTTTTAATGTTTGGCTATCCTGTTTCCTGCACACTTTCAGCTGGATCATGGGAGTTAGACAAGGACATATTAGCAGCAGTAAAATCAGCTCCCCCTTGAGCGAAAGAAGGAGATGGCAAGAGGTGAGAGGGTAGGAGGAGAAACTCTTTGTGAAGTTGAGCACCGGCATTTGAGTGGAGACTTGCAAAGGGAAAGATTTGCTCGTCAAAAATGACGTCACGTGACACATACACACGGCCAGAAGAGATATCAAGACATTTGTAACCTTTGTGAAGAGTATTGTACCCTAGAAAAACGCATTGCTTGGACCTAAATTCAAGCTTGTGCTTGTTAAAAGGGCGCAAGTTTGGCCAGACAGCACACCCAAAGATGCGGAGAAAAGAATAGTTGGGCTTGGTGCCAAAGAGTCGCTCTAATGGTGTTTGGTTCTTGATAACTCTGCTGGGAATACGGTTAATAAGATAGACCGCAGTGAGGAACGCCTCGTCCCAAAATTTAAGAGGCATAAAAGCATGAGCGAGTAGAGAGAGACCAACTTCTACAATGTGCCTATGTTTTCTTTCTGCGGAGCCGTTTTGCTGATGAGCATGTGGACAAGAAACGTGATGTGTGATGCCAATGCGTTCAAAAAATGAGCTTAACCGTTGGTACTCCCCACCCCAATCGGTTTGCATGGCAATGATTTTACGATCAAAGAGACGTTCAACATGAGCTTGAAAAAGACGAAATTTCTCGAAGACATCAGATTTATTTTTGAGCAAATATATCCAACTAAACTTGCTAAAATCATCAATAAAACTGACATAGTATTTCTGTCTTCCTACAGAGACGGGTCCAGGACCCCAAACATCTGAAAAAATCAGCCCTAAAGGAGCTGTGGATTCACTAGTTGAACGAGAGTAAGGTAACTGATGGCTTTTGGCCATTTGACATGCATCACACACCAGAAGGTGGTCTTGTTTATTTGAAACAGGAAGATTGAAATCACGTAAAATCGTTTGAACTATCGGAAGGGCAGGGTGCCCTAGGCGCTTGTGCCACCGAGAGGTGGAAGGCTTGATGGCAGCAAGAACTTGGCGTGGGGGTGCACTCTGTCGTCCGGTCACGGGGAACAAGCCCCATCTACTCTTGTTTTGCAGAATTGTTCTC